GCTGGAACATTAACCAAGTACCGCGTTATGTACGTGTGGATAGAATGCTACGCTGACAGTTTCTGTGCGTTTTGGCTTGACTCTATCACACCACTTAGGCGGTTAGCAACAACCTATATACGTGCCTTTGTTTTCCACGCTGACAGTTCCTGTGCTGTGGATTGGATTGTGTACACTGGTCTTTTTGTTCTTTCACCTGTCCGTCTTCATCTTCCTGCCCTTTTGGTTTTTGCCGTCAGTCCCTGGATTCACCTGTTTGTTTCCCTCCACCATCTCTACTCTACCCGGACTTTTATATACTTGGACTTGGTTATGTTCTTTTGATACTTTGTGTTCTTTTGTAACCAGCAACCAACATGTTTTCCCCCCTAGCACCTGGGTCTGCAAACTTGAGTCCAACCTCAGTCCTCCCTCACCCTCCTGGTGAGGGGGGCTACCATAACAATCTGTGTTTCTCATCTAAACTGAAACCCACTGACCATTTTACTGCAGAGTCTGCAAGCATTAAACGGCATGAGAAGGCACTAAATTAATGAAGTGGTTATTGTGTTTAGTCACATTGTCGAAACGTGTTCTCGTATATTGAAAACAAAAGACTAAATATTAAGATATTTCAGTGTGAAATTTATTATGCATTAACGTATCAAAATAAGCATGTGCACATGGATCTTGACTGCTTAGGAAAAACAGAAAAAACTAACTCCAACTTGGCGGTATACAATATATGTATGAAAAGATGTTACTCTCTGATTGGTCCAAAACTGTTGGGGAGCAGTTGTGGTTTAAACTTAACTCTCCCAAGATTGGTCCTTCAGTCTGTCCATCCTCCAATCATCCTCTCTGCTCCAATGGTCATGGACAGCGCCCTAAAAAGGGAGGAATACCTATACTGTCTTAATTCCTACATAAACACTTATGTCTTCCTTTGTTTCCAAGGAACTGCTCTGCCTGTGTGTGTATATTGCTTCCTCTTATCTAGTCTCTGTTTCAACTATTCAAGGAATTCCAATAAACTATAGCTCCCCTGGCCCATTAGCCAGGTGGTGGTAATAAAGTATCTGTGGACCCTCTTTGCTAAAGCTGTAAATCTAATGAGATTTCAGTGTTTTAGTGAACCAGATATATAGATATGTAACTACATAAACATAAACACAACTGTGAGATTAAAATATATAAACGTATGTATGCTATATAATAAAAACACCAACTAATTATATTCATCTCTATCTAAAAATGAAAATCACCCTAACAACATATCTGGCCTTGGTTGGATTTAGATGATGCCTTTTAAAGCTCAGTACGTTAGATATAAACAGTCTGTAGCTTACATCAGCTGACTGCTGACCTGTTTGCATACACACTCAGTGACAATATCTTTTAAGTAGGAGTAATAACATGGACATTTACTTGTCAGGTATACATACAAAAGGCCTGTGCATATGACTGGCACTGTGTTTGTGTTGTTGCAAAGTTATTGAAAAACCACAGGAAAACTCCACTTTAGATGCTTTTAGTTTATTACAGCAGTTTGCAGACCAGCAGGAAATGTGGATGTCCTGTGAGGCGATCAGAAGTACCGGGTGGGGTCACTCCTGTCGCACATCTGGACGTGGACGTGTGAGGTGATCCCTGGGTAAACGCTCTGCATGGGCAGCATGGTGCCGATCCTCTGCCCCTTCCTCACTGACCCGGAGGTTCGGTCTGGACTCACATAGAACAACTTGAAGCACAGACCTGCAGGCCACAGCATCAATTAATCAATCATTTAACTAATAACAGGATCAGGATTCTGCTGGTGTGATGGACCCACCCTCTCCTGTCAGGCTGATGCCGTTGTCGATGGCAGCCTTGTTGGGGTCGCCGTAGGGGATGGCCCTTCCATTGAGAGTTACGTCAAACGGTGCATAGACGGCAGATCCATCACTGCACTTGATGTCCAGACCTTTGTGCACCCTGTTTCCTCTGAAACACGGGGGATATCCGGCTGTTAACAGTTGCGTCACAGGCACACATGCTGCAGCTTATGATTGGTCTCATGGTCAGTTCATCTGGTTTTAATTTTCTAATGAATCTATTCATTTTATAGTGTTTAAAATGTAGAGATTTAGTGGAGAACAGAGAGCAACAAATCAGTTGTTTACTGCTAGACTATCTGTGGAATGTTGGAGCAGCTGTAGTAGATGATGATTTGTATTTTCATGTCTGACGTCATATCCAATATGTGTCAGCTGACTGAGTTGTATCAGTGGCAACCAGCTGGGTTGGTGTACTCGGCTGACTGCTGGCACCAACTTTGTTCGAAATCTGACTGCTGGATTTAGGTCATTTTAGTGGCTTAGGGCTTAGAATCAGCTCCAGTAGCAGCTTTGTGTTTAAAAGCATCAACACCTTGAGCTGCTCTCAGAACAGCTGGGAGCAGAAAAATTGAAAGTCTCAAAGACTCAGAGACTCAAAGTCAGACTATGAAGTGCTTTAGAAACCAAGACTTTTACGTGTTGAGACTCAGTGTTGTGGTGTCATATTGTTGTGTTACCGTCTGGCTCCGTAGTGTCCCTGTCCCCAGCGGTCACTCGTCCTCCTGCTGTTGGTAGGGTTTCCATTGCAGAGCTGGCCAAACTTAACGCCATCACACAGACACACCACAGCTGGAAACACATACATTATTAGCTGGAGACAAACTCCGGCCTTCTCCCACAACCACAACTGAGTCCTGGCATTTACTGGTTAACCAGTGTTCATGTAATGTGGGTCAGCGAACAGCCCTTTGTCTCCAGAAAACAATCAGTAAACATGACAAGCCAACACACATTCAGAGCTCAGAGCACCAGCAGGCAAACACACCTACATCTGAACACGACTTTATTCTGAGTCTATCGTTTCTACTGCAGAGAAAGCATCATGTAAAGCTGACGACCACAGGATGTCTGACTGCAGCTAAAGCTTCATATTAATGAATTTTCCAGGTGTTCAGAGTGAACGTTTGACCTTTTACAGCTTTGAAACAACTAAAGTGTCTGAAACAAACTGTGAAAGAATGGCTGGAAGACTCTCAGTTTAAGTTTTTCTGTTGATCACAAGTTAAGTATGAACATGATCTGACATCTTTCAGTTTCTCACCCAGCAAAACGATGACGACAACCAGTCTCATCCTCAGATCTCAGTTTCTTCTGTTCACACTGACGCTTCATCAGGAGTCACTCAGGATATATGGATGCTGGATATAAGGAGGTGTTACCACAGTGGAAAATCCACAGGATGTTTGCTTGGAAGGAAAATCCAGGTTTTCAGATGAACAGGCTGTGTCTCTGTTCAGGAGTTTTTATTCTTTCACAATGAACAGTGGACTCTGCATTGTTTATCTTTAGGGGCACAGGAGCAAACAAACATTGGACCCGGACACTGGGCACGAATGCAACATTGTAGTCTAGTACCTTGTGTGTTCAGTTTATGAAGCTCATGAACACCGGTCAGTCAGACAAACAGGGCACACAATGATAAACTGTACAGTCGAACCACATTTCCAAACCAACACATTTGCTTGTGCATACAACATGCGGCACTGCCGATACATATGAATATTTCCATCATCAGACAAGCAATCATTTATAACATGACCCAAGTACTTAACTTCATTACACACAGTTAAAATGTTACCAGATAACTTAAAAGAAGGGAATGCAAGGGACCTGTCCTCTTTTGTGCGGCATATCATAGTAACACTTTTATCAGAACTGTACTTAACATCGTGAAGCTCCCCAAACAGAGAACACACATTCAAGAGCTGCTGGAGACCTGCCGAGCTGGGACTAAAGATCACCAGATCATCTCCCTACATTAAATGATTCACTATTGTACTGCCAACCATACATCCTGTTCTACACATATTTAACTCCTTAGAGAGACCATTCATATAAAAATTAAACAAAATCGGGGACAACAGACTGCCTTGCCTTACCCCATTACAGGTCTGAAAGGGTGCAGATATACAATTATCCCATCTGATACACATAGTCTGGTGGGCATACCAATATGACAAGCATCTTACTATATATTTAGGCACTGGAGCGTCACACAATTTCTGGAATAACTTCCTGTGATTCACACAATCAAAAGCTTTAGAACTATCTAAAAAACACATAAATATGGTCAAATATTTACTTTTATATTTACTAACTAGTTCTTTCAAAGCAAAAATACACATACCAGTGCCATGATTGGCTTTAAACCCAAATTGATTATCAGTAGAGCCAATAAGATTATGAAACCTACTCAAGAGAATTTCTTCAACAACTTTAGAAAGTATGTTAGCAAGTGCAATGGGTCTATAATTATCTGAGCTGCCCACCTTTCCTGCTTTATCCTTCACCACCAGGACTAAAAAAAGCACTGACATCAAAGAGGCAGGCATAAACCCATGCATAACAAAAGAAGTAAAGCATATAGCTAAAAGAGTTGCCAACCTCAAACTAGTATACTTAAGATGTTCTACAGAAATGCAGCCCATCCCAGTAGACTTATTTGCTGACAGATTGCTTATTGCTTGAGAAACCTCATATGTTTTAATAGAATCAACAAAGTGAACCCTACCTATAGAGAAAGTTTCACTAGGGACACAATTAAATAGATCGCAGTAGCGGTGTCGCCAAAGCTCAAATATCTTATCCGGGCCAGAAACTCCATCAGTAGTATTGGGTAGAGAAAATCTACTGCTGTTAATAAGACACAAGCACAAAGAAAAATAGAAGCATGAGTTTGGTTGGATATGAAACACAAGAAATGTGCCACATGAAGAGTGTGTGGTGTGTGTGTGGATTCTCCAGCCCAGGCATGTCTGGGCTGGACGTGACTCAGCACTCAGAGAGAACCTGACTGAGTGTGGCAGGAAGCATATGCCCTATAATGTTGTTTGTCAGCAGAACCAAACTCCCACTCGCTGTGGGCATGTGTTCCTCTTACAGAGGCCTTTTCTGACATTCTGTATCTATATGTTGATCATTTTGTATGTTTCCCCTTAATTAGACAGTTTTAACAGTATTAAACATTTGTATTATATTGCGTACTAGTACTGTCTGGTCATGTGGTTGACTAAATAAAAACACTGATAGTTCTGCAGGTTTTACTTGTGGATCATGTCTGAGACACTAGAACTTTCTGTTGTTTTTGTTGTCTCTTGATGTTTTGTATAAAAAGTGCAAATACAGTGACATGTTGTACTTTCTTTACTTTCACTTATATTAATTCGGTTCTGATAACTTTAGTTCCTTCTCAAAATCAGATGAACCAAACCAAACACAATCATCAGACTTTATTGACCCTGGTGGGAAATTCACCATCTACCCAGCAGGATGGAAAGTACTTCAGCTTGTAACAGATTATTTATACACTGTGGTATATTAGTACTTAGATGCAGGACCTGAGTACTTCTTCCACAGCTATTGATGAAACTGATTATTGATCATGGCACTTGGTGCGATGTGTGTGTTTGACACTTGCATTTAAGTTGCCTTGACAAAAACCAGGTGTGTTTGAAGTGTTGATTATGCAAAGTATTTTATGCAACACGCTGCCAGGTCTCTTGCGCTGTCACATTCTGCATCCTCTGCATTGTGTTGTTTTGTTTACCTTTGCCACAGATTTCCTATTCGACCATACTGACGAAGAAATCCGGAGACGGAACCAGAGGCGGACACTGTGGACTGACACCGGCAGGTCCTGCCCGTGGCATAGGCAGTATAGGCAAATGCTAAGGGCGCCGTACATCCAGGGGGCGCCAGAAATGGAGGCAGAAAAAAAGTGTCACTTCCACTATTCTTAAAACTAGACTTCAGAAAACAATAAGCCCACCACATTAATTTAACTGCATAGCAGCAAAGCCTACTAAGTAGTAGTAGTAGTAGTAATAATAATAATATAGCCTACTTGCCTAAGACGCCTCCCCTCTCTTCCAAATAATCCGACTTTACCTGCTACAC